ATTTTGTGTGTACAACTGTTCAAAGCTGTGTTTTCTAGTCAAGAACTGGCTGAATAATTTAAAAGTGTCACTAACAAAGCAGTCACTACCGAAACACTGGGTAAAGTTTGAATAGTGTTCAGGAGTGACTCACGCTCTACAGGGAACAAACTTAAACATGGCAACTTAAGCGCATTTAGTGCACAATTTCAATTTATCTATTTATCTATTTTCTATTTTCTTAGTTTACATGTCAATGTACCATCATTTTTGCACAGGCTACATTTTATATATATATATATATATATATATATATATAGAGAGAGAGAGAGAGAGAGAGAGAGAGAGAGATGTAGATCAAATCCACTTGAGAGTGGTCTGAACACAAGCTTCAATGGAAGAGATACATAACATAGATTTCCAACTTGTTCTCCACTGTGTATATAATTATGGGCCGTGTAAATGAGTATAAAGTGGAAAAAGGGGCTACAGATACTTGCAGACTATGACTATGACATATGAAATTAGGATTGGCAGAGGAGGTATCAAAATTCCTCGCTACAGATTTGAGGTAATGCCTTTAAATTACAGTCAATGAATGAAATGGATGTTACACAATTCCTGTCACAGATGGAACAAGGACGACACATCTGAGAATTGAGCAGGCAGGCATTTAAAGCAGCACTATGTAACCTTTGGGGATCTGGAGACCAATCTGGTGAAAATGTGTAATTGCATGCAACGTGCGGAGGAACACTTTGTATTGTCAGTTGTGTTTTGGACCCCTTCCCCAAGCAGATGAATCTGATAATTGCGAGCGAGTTGAAAGAGTATTCAAAGAGAACTCAGGTAAACCTTGGTGAAAGGTCATCTCTCTCTCATCTACGTCATCTACATCTCTCTCTCTCTGTCTTCAGAGGATGTGAGTGAATGATCTACTATTGTCATCATATCTTCATCACTATAATGTTCATTTTGCGTTTGAGACCTAAGCATCAAGCCAGACCTTCTTTTGGAGTCTGTGCACGCAATGTTAATATGTAAAGACGTATATCATGGTTTGAAAAACTCCAGTATGAGTAGTCAGTATGAGAAAAGCTATGAGAAAATAATATCCTGCTATCAATCTCATAACCTACATGATAAACAGAACTGATATCGCCCTAAGCCTGTCTGGCTAAAAGCCTCAACCATCTGTGAAAACAGGTCTAACCGTACTAATGTAATCAAAAAAAACAGCCAGCTCTCACAAAAGGCACACAAGTTGGTTTCTAAAATATAAGGAGCTTCATTGAAGAAAGGAAGGTACTACAAGCCTCTATAGCCAAGAAGTTGCTTCTTTAAATATAGACTACTTTCTGCAAAAATGTTTTAATAATGTGTGATGATACATGTTAAATTTCAATGTGAGAATCGAAACAAGTGTATTTGGGATGTATATTTTTAGGTTCTATACCAATTAAAACTTTTTCTACAACCACCTGTCCAGGCCAAGACCCAATGTATCCAGAGAAGAGTATATCCAAGCCAAAAACATTTTAAAGAACATATGTGAAAATTAAATGTCCAAATAAAGCATCATTACAGCTCAGAACGCCATAGCTCACATGTGTGTGCTATGCCTGTAGGTCATGAGGTTCTTGGGAGGAGCCCACTCTCACAGCGAAAGCTCCTGCAATACAAACATCATGTGTGCTCACCACAGGGTCTTAGCAAAGAGGTGGGGGTTCTCTAGAGCAGTCAGCAGTGGGTACATGGTAAGCTAAGTTTCTAAACAAAAATGTATGCTCCTAAAACTATCACCAAAGTGTGGCTCTCTCAAGGGTTTAGTTGCTCAACTGCCTTACAGCTCTCCTGGGTCTCTAGCCATTTTTCAGTCTTACAGCTTTTTCTCAAATCACTTTTACCAGCAGTGTTTCACTGAGTCATGCTCATAGTGTTTAAACTAGCTCTAGCCCTTTGACCAACAGAGAAATTCTCAGACAAGCATTACCAGCCTTGTGTCGTTGATTCATGCTGATGCTACACCAATAAACTAGTAACATCCTGTGTAGGAGGTAAGATTTTGACAAAGCCTGTGGGACACAGTAACATCCTGTGTAGGAGACGAGCCTTAGACAAAGCATTCTTTTCTTTGTAAAAGGTTCCCTTCAAGAACGACGATTTTTCTTGAGGATTGATGGACAAAACATTTCTAGTGACTGGTCTAAGTCTCACCAGCTTCTGTTTTCTAATAGAACATTAAATAGTCCAATTCCAGCTTACTCCTCAAGTGGTTCTTCAAAAGTTCTTTAGTAAAAGATATGGTTACATATTTGTATAGTACAGTTACAACTCAAAGAACCATTTAAAAATAGTTCTATGTATTACTACACAGAACTAGTTTTTTGACACCTTTTTGCCAGTGAAGGATTACTGACTGGACCTCTGGGGCCAGTGCCCAGAGGCCTCTGAGGGGGGCTTAGACCACATGGCGTGAAGTGGCCCAAATTATTAGGAAAAAATTGCAGGAATGTTTGGCAACCAGCAGTTGCTCTACAGGTACCATGACCTGTAACCACCTGTTACGGCCCAAGACCTGAATCTAACAGGCTCTTTTAACCAGAGCATGAAGCGAATGCCAGTGCTGCAGTTCTTCCTTCAGTTCTGCTTCTCCAAATGACACACACAAGCCATCTTATAAGCAGAACAGCTGATTATCACTCTCATTTGACTTCAAACAATCATTTAGTTAAATATTTAATTCCCTCTTCCTTCAAATGTAATCGATTAGCCATGGAATGTTTGCTGTCTGGAGTGTGCTTTACGAATTTTGCACTGGAGCTATGAAGCTAATTTAGCCAATTTAGCTAACAAAATGAAAGCTCCCAAGCTTATACTCGATAAAGTACTCATCCAAATCATCACACAGTTGCCTTAAACCATGTTGAGCTGTGTCTAGCTTAAGTAATCTCAAATATGCTGTCTTCTACACTGTATGACACCCAATAAAAATGGATACAAGTACAAATCTAGGGTTTGAAATGGTCGCTACAGCTAGTTTTAGCTACTTTTGTCCATTTTTGTAGATAATAGTGCGTCAGACCTTGTCAGAAACCACATACACAAGTCTATTTGTGATTAAGTGCTTGTGGATTTAGACACACAGTTTACACAGCTCTAACTGGTGAAGTCTCTGCTTCGTTTACTTGTTAGCAACATTAGCCTCATAGCTCCAGTGCAAATCTAAAGCAAACTTCAGATAGCAAATATGTGACAATTGACTACGTTTAAGTGAAGAAGAACACTGTAAATCTAATTTTCTGTCACACCAATATCTTTGGGTTGGTTGTTCAGCCTTAGCACAGAAGCACAACGGGATAAAAAATGAAGAAGTATCAAAAACAACAACAGGGTTCCTGTCAGGCTACACAATTGCTAACATGACAGCTTACCAGACACCACACTTACAGTTCTACTTTCTGTTTCTAGACAACTTGTGCAATCTTATTATTATTGACACGACACTCATCACAGAGCATCGTCTTGACAAAATATATTGTATTCTTTTGATAAGGTAAGACAAGGTAAACTGTGTGAAGCTCAGAGTCAATGGCTCACTATATCGTACTATCAAAGAGCTTTTCTCCATGTATCGCTGGTACACTGACATGAGAGAAATTATGTAATCAAGCCCAAAGGTCACTTGGTATAATGTAAACATAATGTGGGTATAATGCAAAATGGCAATAAGAATAAATGGCATGTGGGTACAAATGCAAAGCCTTAATTACATAATGACTAGTTCATGCAGGCACAGTGTAATTTGCCATATAAGGGGAGGATGTCAATTTGTCTGCTTGTTGTTTGACGCTCTAATCATATTTTTGAAAATCTGTTCTTCACGGTATGTTTTGAAGCCTAACACTGGCTTGAATGTCTTTTGAAATGTCTTTATGTCATCTCATGGAAATTTTGATGGCCTTTTGCGTAGGAATGTGCACAGTTTTGAGAAATGTTGTGCAACATTCTGGTAGAGACACATATTTAGATTTACCCTCTGATTTCTGTCAGTGATGTTCCTCCGCAAAAAGATTACTCTCCAGCTTGTTTTCATCTAAGTTGAGCAAGTCAGCTATGACACAGCAACATCTGCATTCACCATATTTCAGTGTGTCACTTTCAGTAAAGACCCATTTCATTAAAATTTTCTTCCATGAAGAGTTTGATGTAGTATGTAAACATTGTTACTGCTTGGAATGTACAGTTTACTCCTTGGTCCATACAATCTGTATATGGCTGTAAAAACAGCCTGTTCTGACGTCATTTTTTTGAAGTCACGTAAACCAACGCATTTACATATAATTCAGCCTACAGCACCTCAGCCCTGGCTTTGCCAATGAAGTTGCAAGGGATGTTTCAGCCTGGACTTTTTTCTGAATGAGGCACAATACAGGGCAGCCAATCAGAACAGCTTATTTACATATATCAGCCTCAATAATAAAAATGACCTGTTTAATTGAAAGGATTGAATAATCTCTGATAACCTTTTGGTACCTAAACCTACACAAATGTGATAAGTGGATTTTAGCGGATATAAGAATAGAATAGAATTAAAATATCTGCAGTATATAAGTATTATTATTATTTGTAAGTATCAGAATGTTGAGAACTTTCTGAAGGGCTAAATAGCTGAATACCTTAGCAATACATTCGAGTCTTTTTTCACCATGTTGACCGTTCGAAAGAATCGGTTCGTTAAGCTGAATTGATCTTTCATTTCCAATGAACGACTTCCAATTTTTTCAATGCGTTGTTTTTTCCCACACGTATTCTGACAAAAACCCCGCCCTCCTGCTCCAGGATTGGCTAATAGTAGCTCGTCTCCTGCGCTAGGATTGGGTGACAGTTTGCACAGTACTGGCAGTGATCTGATTGGCGCACTGCTTGTGAGTGTGTTGAACTACTAGCCAATGGTAGCGCAGGAAGGCGGGGCCTGTCGGAATACGGGTGGGAAAACCAAACACCGCGTCCCTCCAGCTTTGAAAAGGCACTCTGGCAGTTTGGCTTGCTTGTGTTGCTGCTGCTACCTCACTCATTGTAGTTAGTTTACTATCAGTTGTGGCTAGTTGTAGGTCCTGCTTTCGGACGATCCGCATACCATGGATGTATCCACTCGTGAACAGTCTGAAATGAGTTATCCTTAGCGGAGGGACTGGACTGAACATGACCAGACAGAGAAAGCATGTTTTCCAAATCTCCAGACAGACAGACAGACAGACAGGCAGAGAGGCAGAGTTCGCCCGGGTTTTGTTGAGTGAAGACCGGTCTGTTTTCTCTTCACCCTCGCTATGAAGGACCGTCTCGACCTCTCCGTTGCCGGAGCTCCTCGGAAACGCTTAACGGACAACTGACGAGAAAGTGAAGGAAGTTTGAAGCTCGTCCATCACCGGCTGACCTTGGTCGTCGATCTTCGCCAGGATGCCCGATGAACTGACACCTGTCCTCTACGTGGTAATGGAAGTGGCCATCGCCATCTCTTCTGTGATCGGGAACGTGATGGTGGTCTGGGCGGTGAGAATGAACCGCTCGCTGCGGGACACGACCTTCTACTTCATCGTCAGCCTGGCCCTGGCTGACATCGCGGTGGGCGCGCTGGTCATCCCGCTGGCCATCACCATCAGCATCGGGCTCACGACTCATTTCTACAGCTGCTTGCTGGTGGCCTGCACGGTGCTCGTCCTGACGCAAAGCTCCATCCTAGCTCTCCTCGCTATTGCCATTGACCGCTACCTGAGGGTCAAGATACCTATGAGGTAATGTCGAGCAAAACACCACGACCACCCTTGTCCACTACTTGTCCACTACTTGTCTAAGGTGTGCAGCAGATCAGTTTACTGTCTTTTTATTGACTGCTTTCCAAATGGTGCAGTGTCCTCTAAGTGTCCAGTGACTTTAAATGTCCTCACACAGATTTACACAAGAAAGCTGCCTTGCTTCTCTTCCAAGTTTGGCCACTGTCCACTCTGGGGTTGTTTCTTACCCTAAAAAGGATTTCCAGTGGAGAGTTCTCATTGGCAGTGTAATTAAACCTCGGAAAGTCTAGGCTTCATTTTTGGCTGGGGAAGCCTGTTTTGATTGATGGTGACTCTCCAATACTGGTAATTGATCCCCAGTAGTAACATAGTCTGATTACTAAGTAATCAGACTATGTTATCTTAGTTTTTATGGAGTAAATTAAAGAGGAGAGAACTCAGAAGTGCTGAAACAGTCTCCCATGACTATTCAGTTTGCTGAACCCATCATTCAAGGTCACGAGGACGTTGAGTGTTAACTGTTTCCTGACTTTTTTGATGGTTATCTCGGACTCGTCTGAAAACATAATCCTTTGAGGGAGTTCTTATGTGCTTATGTGAACACAACAGCTATCCTTTCATTCCAGTTTCTAAGATAGATGTATGAAAGCCATGTGAAACACCATGCTCTATTGGTTATCAGACCATCAGGGGGCTAATCAGCCAACCCGACTCTTACTGTGCTTAAAGACTGTGAGTGGTCCTGTAAAAGGTCCTGTAAAATCCACAGGGATTTTGAGCTTCAGTCTTTTTTTTCCCCTGGCAACAGAGTGTGACACAGCACCTTAGCTAACAGTGATCATTTACATCCCCAACAGGCTGCTAAGGGTGACTGGCCTGTGTGAGTTTGCTGTGGGATGTTTGCTGTGGGATGTTTGCTGTAGTGCAGTTTTCTAGCCCTCAGTCTCCGTCTTTCTAAGGCTGGACAATATGACAGTTTATCACAATAACGATATATATCATGTCACAATACAATACAGTACGCTTTTCTGAACATGTCATGCATATCAGCACTTGCAGAACACTGGCCAGCTGCAGGTTTCGTTATAAAGGGAGCAAAATGAGTCCCGTTTAACTAGATTTAGTGCAACACAGTATGCCAAATATTGAGTAAAAATTGTTGTGTTCAGTTTTTGATAGTATTTTGAAAAATGTAGCACTACTGACTTTTTTTCTCTGTTGCAACTGATCAAATAAGTATTGTGACAATTTCTTAAAGTATCACAATATTATTTTTTTGCCATATCACCTCTACATCCTCCTTAACACCCATAGGAGCCCATTTTTCCAACTCAATAGTCTAAAACAAGAGAAGCCGGATACCAGTTTTTCTTTTCTAATACTTGTATTAAAACTTTGAGTATCGATACAAAATTGTTGTCTTTAAAAACGACTAGGCTTTTAAATGAGCAATTTTAATTGAAGCATTTCACTTAAGATAAGCATTCAAAAGTTGGCTCAGTCACGATCAAACTACTCAAACAATCTATGGCCCCATAGGATGAAATGTACAGCCAACAACATCACATCTAGAATGCAAATGTGATTTTTCAAGCAAGATTGGTTATATAATTGGCTCAAGTTCATTCTCCAATATCCGCTCCAGCATTTTCTCCTGATATTAGCCTGATAACCACCTATACTGATCTGCCGTGTCAGTCTAAAACATGTAAGTGTTGATGAAGCCAGTAATGAAAGGCCAGAGGGACTGGTAATAAACTGAGCACAGGAAAAGATAGTAAGCAAATAACGATGACATCAGTTTATGACAGGAGTATAGAGTTGGTGTAGTTGAAATCACAGTTGCATTTTTTGCTACTGATCATTTTCAGTTTAAGATTACAGATGAATCACTCATATGTTTTGTCTAGATGTTTCTATTGTTCATACTAAAACATTCCCTAACTGTGAGCACAACTTTCCAAACTATTCATAAACTACATCTACATGTTCACACATTAACACTAAAAACAGCACAGAAAAAGCTAGCAAGAAGTTATATTGACATCAGACTCTATATACAGTTCATAATGATGAGCCTGATGCACAATAACAGTGACATTAGGGTATGACAGATTTTCCTCACATGCTACTTACAGCAAACACAAACAGCATGGCTGAGAGGTAGAGCTGGACTGAGGTGAGATGAAAGCAGTTTTAAAAGGAAAGCGGCCACTTTTCAGCTCTTGCAGAGAGAAGTCCAGAAAAGGCTACAGCCTGATCTCTCGCATATTGATTCCGATGGAATAAAACAGAATTTGCTTCTCAGTAGATTTGAGGGAAGTCCGAGAAGCCAAAGGTACAACACATTGTGACATGTCAAACACAACTTCTTTCATTGATAATCTGAAACATATGCGACAACAGTTCTTGTAGGAAATCATATCATTATGTAAAGCATTTTTATCACTAAAAGTCAGTTTGATTGAAATGAGCTGCTGGAATCAAATTTAAGTACCAATTTCTATTTTTTCACTTGCAATTTTCAAAGAAAGTTTATTTAAACGTAGCTACAGTCATGTTGAAGTAGCATCTTGATCAATAACATTTTTGCTTATTATTGCCATTTTTTAAAATAATGTTATTAACTCATGAGACTTTTTGCCATACGGTACAATATACAGTACTTTTAGGGTGCTGTAATCCCTAGACAGTGTGAGAACAACTTTCCAAACCATTTCATAATCTTCCCCAGAAGCATGTGAACACACCTTGTTACCAAGCGTCATGTGCATTCCTGTAATCCAAATCTATTGGCAAGTTTTCCAAGAAGGGCCTTGATTTCCATGGAAATTTGTTAATCTGAGCAGATGCCGCACCTTACTTTCAATTTGTGTGAATTGCTTCCTTACAACCATGTTAACGGCCTCACCTAGGTCAGTAAACATTAGGCCTAATTTTAACGGGATGAGCAAGGCTGCTTAAACTGAAACTGTGAATGTGTTGAATGACTGTGGATCAGATGAAGTTTCGTTTGTCTGTATTTGGTCTGCAGTTTATTTGATCTGTAGATCTGGTACAGAAATGTGTGCTTGAAATGTTTTAAGTGTAGTCTGCTCATAGCTGACTTCACTGAAGTAAATATAGTTAGGTGCTTGTTTCACCAGTGACAATTTAATGGCCGAGTGAGTAGCACGCTCCGTTGCCCTTGTTTGTATTGCATGAAAATAGCTTGCAAAGTCTCTGAGGGACTGAAATTGAATTTAGGCGTAAGTGTTTTAGAGCATGGAGTATAGTGTATCACTGCCCTGGAGTAACTTAAGTACTTCTCAGGATTCATGTAATTTACTCCAGACAAGTGATAAAGCTTAGACCAGAGATTCCACCTCAGAAACTGTTTGACGCTGACTGATTAAACTAGTGGAATCAGGTGCTCCTGCTTGTTTGGAATACAAACCTGTTTAGAACAGTTTTCACCGACACTGCTCCTGGTGATCTACTTTACTGCAGATGAGTGGTCTTGGAGATTTTCTGTCCTGCAGAGTTTAGTTCCAACCTGCATCTAACATGCTGCCTCCTGCCCCTACCTAGACTAATGCATCTCATCTAACGAGTCAAGGAGCTTCTGAAGAAGTGAGTGTGGCAGTTTGTGGTTTAAGCTACAGTCCACAGGAAGGTAGATCTCCAGGACCAGGATTGATGACCACTGCTGCAGACATAAGCTCCAACCCAAATTGACCCCACCCCGAATCCATCTATCTATTGAAGTCTTTGATTAACTGAATGAGGTGTGTTAGATTTGGGTTGGAGGTGAAAGCTGCAGGAAAGTAGATCTCCAGGAGCAGCGTTAGCGACCACTGGTAACCGCTCATGACAGTCAAGACAGGACGAGTTATGTTCTTTTTTAATAAGGCATGCAGTTGTTTCAAGTGCTGACAATATCTACAGTATGCTCAGAGAAGCGTATTGTGATGTATTATGATATATATTTTTTTAATTTTTAAAAATCTCAGTATGACAAAACATATTGCCCTTCTCTACTTAAACATAATCACAATGTTACGTAAAAAAAGAGTGAATTTTTAATTGACTTTTAGAATCATGCTTTTAAGCATGAGTGTCCAAACCTGGTCCAGGAGATCTCCCACAGTGGAGAGCAATATTTAGGTGCCCCTGAAAGCCTTCATTACCTGGATGATAGGGGCTGGAGCTAAACACTGTAGGATGGTAGATTTCCAAAACCAGGATTGGGCACCCCTGCCTTTAACCAAAAAGTAAACTGTAAATCATTTTAGGCAAAACCTAGTCTTTAAACCAAAAAAGCCACTTTAACATACATTAAGCTGAGTGCTGCAAAAAAACTCAATTGAGCATGTCGGGTGTCACTGTACTCACGGCTCTTTCAATGCGATTTTGGAGATCATACAGTGTTGTTGGGAGTGGCACATAAACAGAATCCTTAACGTACTCCCACAAAAAAAGTCACACGGCGTGAGATCTGGTGACGCTAGTGACCTTTTTCTTGGAACTGTTGGTATCAATGACGAATGCTCTGAGCTGTTGGAGGTTCACTGCCATACTGACAGTCAGAAACTCTATGATCCCCTCTTTCAATCGGTATGTGATTGGTTCCTAAGCACCTCACGATTATAAAAATATGGCGCTTTGAAATCAGAAATATCTTTTTGAATCATCCTGTATGTATTAACGTAAGTATTAGTAAATAGATGTTTTATATTAACAAACTTTCAAGTAATTTACTGCATAATTGTGAAAATCAAGCATTGCTTGGAAAATTTCAAAAGAAGTCAAAGTATCCTCAAACTTATGAGTATCAGTGTCATTCTACAAAGCTCTTGGAACCGAAGTGCCTTAGCTGTTGTTGTTTTCCTTTCCCTGCCCTGTTCTGCAGCTATAAGCGGGTGGTGACACCGAAACGAGCCGGGACAGCGGTGGTCGTATGCTGGATGGTGGCCATCATTGTGGGCCTGACTCCTATGTTGGGCTGGAACAACTTGGCGAAGGTAACCAACAACTCCGCCAACCTACTTATCACCTGCCGGTTTGAAACAGTCATCAGCATGGAGTATATGGTCTACTTCAACTTCTTCGGCTGGGTGCTGCCCCCACTTGTCCTAATGCTGCTTATATATGCGGAGATCTTCTACATGATCCACAAACAGCTTAATAAGAAAGTGACGGCCAGCCAGACTGACCCCAGCCGTTATTATGGCAAAGAGTTGAAACTGGCCAAATCTCTCGCTCTTGTGCTATTTTTGTTTGCTATTAGCTGGCTGCCACTGCACATTCTAAACTGCATCACTCTCTTCAGCCCAAACTTGGAGAAAAAGATCCTCATCTACATCGCTATTTTGCTTAGTCACGGCAACTCAGCTGTCAACCCCATTGTGTATGCCTTCCGCATCAAGAAGTTCCGCAACGCTTTCCTCAAGATCTGGAAGCAGTACTTCTGCTGCAGGGAAATGTCCCGTCAGGCCAATCGAGGCAGCCAGCGAAGGGAGAGCCAGGAGAGGAGAGTGAGACGTAACATTGACATTTGATCCCACACTGGAGCCTTGGGGTACACCCCTGTCTAGTAGGAGGTCTGCTATGGTGATTATTTTTGGTGGACGTCTTCATGGGAATGAAGTGTGGGTGAGCTGCTGTCAGTTTATCCTTAGCATCTAGGCCAGTGACCCTATGATGTTTTGACCCCACACTGTAAAATAATATTCTGTTATATTCAAGCTAACGTTGAGACCAAACATCAACCATGGCATTTCCCCCGAAATATTCACTATAGTCACATAGTCAATGGTGCGATGAATGTAGCCCACCATCTGTGAAGGCCCATCAAATATATGAAAACTGCCTGTTTTAGTGGAAGCGCCACACAGTCCAAATGGCATTCATTTGTGGCAAGCACTGGTTCTGATGAGACTCGCAAGCCTTACTGCAACTACTGTGAAGTGCTTTAAACCACAACAGGCATTAACTAGACAAAGTGTCAGAGTTGGCTTGGGGAAATGTCAGTAAGCCACCTGTCCTGCATTTTATTACATGTTTCTTTTGAGTCAGTGGCACTGCAGTATTAAGAGTCATACCTTTTATGAGTCTGAACTAGATCTTCTTGTGGAAGGACACGGAGAACACGATTTGATGAAGTAACGTTTTCAACTGACAAATCCAATTCCTTGGAAGATGAATGGTTTTATTAGAGCGGCGAATTGCAATTTATCGCGCTCCATAATCATAAACAGACAAACATGCAGTCAAGACGATTGCTTCCTTTGCCTTAAACAGAACTTTGATCTGCTTGATCCACTCCTTTGCTGCTTGAAATGAAATTTCAGTCATGTTTTACAAATATTTTTATTTTATCTAATGTTTATTATGATTTGTTGCCAGAAAAGGTTTACTCATCTCATTTGTATTACAGCTGTGACTACAGTAAGCACTGGAAGATGCAGTAGAGTAACTCGGCAGTTAATAATATTTTTTTCGTATCTTCTTGTATGTAAGTGTCCAAGTCTAACAGCTACCTTGTATAATGTATTGGAAGCGCACCACTTGATCATACCTTGCTTGATTATCTTTTTGAGGAACGGTTATGAGCATAATGTGCTTAACTGTAGACCAACCAAGCATTTGATATCTGTAATGCTTTGAGCAGGAGAACCGAGAAGCAAGTGTGAAACAACAGACAAGACAGAACCATGAATAAACCTAGTTTGAACGATATTAACCAAGATGGCTGGTATTGTTTTTATGTTCAGCCAATAACCCATACTGTGATGCTCAGCTCGCAAGGAGCAGTACCTTGTACTATATATCTGAACAGTGGTAACTTTATCAAAGAACGTTAAAAAATACTATTATTCACAGTTAATGTGATAAAAGAATCTGATCCAGTCAAAAATTGTGGTTCAGTCACCAAACAGTAAAACTGATGTGTTCAAATCTGAGTTTACTTACTAAATGCACAAAAAGTACCTTGTTTGTATGCTTTTTTGTCACAAAGACTACATTGCTTTGCTGCCCAATGAAGATTAAGAGCAGTAACTAAGCAGTAAGTTCTGTTGTTGTCCATCCAAACCATTGAAGTGATGCACTCATGACTGATGTACACTCATTGGCCACTTTATTTGGCTGCATCTACATTAATTGTCCAATTTATTAGACCCAGTTACCATATTCAGTTCTGTGCAAAAGTCAGAGACCACACCTTTGTTTATTTAATTTCCAGTCGAGTGGCCATTAAAGGCAAATTATTTATTTTTCAGTGTTGAAAAAAACAGGAAAAATGTGTTTAAAAGATGTTACACAAAAGTCTTCATCAAGTGTATCAAATATATCAGTATTTTTATCAGTATTTTCCACACTAAAAATTGTGATATTAAATTTAGTTGAGGCTGGCAATTTGTCCAGGGTGTATCCTGCCTTCCGCCTAATGACAGCTGGGATAGGCTCTAGCACCCCACCGCGACCCAGAAGGATAAGCGGTTTAGATGATGTATGTATGTATGTATGTATGTGTGTATGTATGAAGGCCTGGAGGATGACTAACATAAACCATGCAACAAGAGATGTGCTATCATCTCTGACACCGTACTGTGATGTATTATGATATAATTTATCTCAATACGATAAAATATTGCCCTAATGCCTTCCTCCACTTAACCAGACACAATATTAAGTAAAAAAAGAATGAATTTTTAATTGACTTTTACAAAACCCTTTTCCTGAAAAGTTGGAACAATTTGTAAAATGCAATAAAAACAAGTATCTGTGATTTAATTCTCTTGAAATTTTAAAGTACAAAGAAAAGATTTCCCAGGTTTTCACTGACCAACTTAATTGTATTTTGTGAATATAAAGAAATTTTGAATTTGATGGCTGTAACGCTTAAAAAAAAAAGTTAGAGGTAAAATAAGAGTGAAAAGTTTGCAGAATATTGACATCACACTGTAACATGAAACATTCCACAACAAGCAAGTGAATTAGTAGCAAGTGAGGGTATCATGATTGGTTATGAAAGGAGCATCCACAAAAGGCTCAGTCTTTCGTCAGATAGTTCAAAAAGAACATTTCTCAGTGCAAGATCGCAAAGAATTTAGGCCGTTCACCATCTACCCTTCATAATATTGTGAAAAGATTCAGGGAATCCAGAGCAATCTCAATCCGTATAGGGCAAAGCCGGAAACCATTGTTGAATGTGCATGACCTTCAGGCCCTCCGATGGCATTGCATAAGAAACTGTCGTGCTACTGTGTTAAATATGGCCACATGGGGTCGGAAGTACTTCGGAAAACCATTGTCACTAAACACACTCTGCCCCAGCATTAAGTGACACAACGTGAAACTTCTAGCATGCAAGGAGAAAGCCATACATCAATTCTATGCAGAAACACTGCTGAGTTCTCTGGGCCTGAGCTCATCTCAGAAGGTCCAAAAGACTGGGAATTTGTGCTGTGTGCAGCTTGTTTTTGGGAAAAATGGATGTTGCTCTGTGCCAAAGACTAAAGGGACTGTCCAGATTTTTATCAGTGAAAAGTGCAAAAGCTACCATCTATCGTAGTATGGGGCACATCAGTGCCCATGACATGCATGGCTTGCATATATGTGAAGGTACCATTGACGAGGAGGCGTCTATAGAGAGATTAGGATTTTCGAGAGACACATACTGCCGTCAAGAAGATGTCTTGACAATGCCAGGCCTCATTCACCATATTCTACACAGCGTGGCTTCATAGACACAGAGTGTGTGTGCTTGCCTGGCCTGCCTGCCATCCAGATCTGTCTCCTGTTGAAAATTTATTGCGCACCATGAAGAATCAGATAAAGACGACCATGGACTGTTGAGCAGCTAAAGTCTGGTATTATGCAAGAACGGGCAAAAATTCTGTTTTGCAGGCATCAAATTCAAAATTTGTTTATATTTACAAAACACAATTAAGTTGGTCAGTGAAAACATTGGTAATCTTTTCTTTTTATGTTTGTCAGTTAAATAAAGTTTCAAGAGAATTAACAAATCACAGATTCTTGTTTTTATTAGATTTCTTGTATTTTATGAAATGTCCCAACTTTTCTGAAAATAGGGTTTGTACAAGGTGGACCAATAAAGTAGGAGTATCTAATAGAGTGGACAGTGAGTATTTAAAACTCCAGCAGAACTACTGAATCTGATCCAGCACAAGTAATACCTGCTCTGTGGTGGTCTTTTTGGGGGGGTTCCTAACTGTTGAAGAACAGGGTACAGAAAGGCTAACAAATTCTTTAGGGAATCATAATGTTGAAATTACAAAGTGCACCTATATTAGGGATATAACAATACAATATATGGTATTGTCTTGAATTGTACCACAGCGTATTGCATTGTATTGTATCATATTGTTGAACTGTGACTAGTATGTTAGCTATTGGCTAATTTCTTAGCTTTGGGGGGGGGGGTAACATTATCTTGTAGCTATAACATTAGACTGGGAAGTCTATAAAGCACACCCGTCTAAAATTTTTGCTATTTTTTTAAAATATATAGAATTTAGACACTATTTTATTGTTTCGAATTGAGGTATGAACTGAATGTGAGTTCAAACCCTGAAAAACAGCCTCAGACCATTATCCCTCCGCTACCAAACTTTACTGTTGGCACTATGCATTCTGATAGGTAGTGTTCTCCTGGCATCCGTCAAACCAGATTTGTCCATCAGACTGCCAGAGAGTGAAGCATTCCTCACTCCAGAGAACAAGTCTCTACTGCTCCAGAGTCCAGTGGTGGTCTGCCACTCCAGCTGACGCTTTATAATGCTTTGAACTCTTGCCTGAGGTGTTGTTGCTTCTAGATACTTCCATTTCACTATAATAGCACTTACAGTTGACCGGGGCAGATATAACAGGGCAGAAAATTCTGACTGGTGGCAAAAATGGCATCCTATGACAGGTCCACATTTAAAGTCACTGAGCTCAATGATCAATCTACTGCCAATCTGATGATCAATTCTACTGCCAGTGTTTGTCTATGGAGATTGCATGGCTATGTGCTTGATTTTATACACCAGTGGGTGTGGCTAAAACACCAAAACATAAGTTAAATGCTAAATTAGGAGGAGCGTTCACATACCACCTGCCAATGGACTTGATAAAATGACAATGAGTGTAGATACAAGATAGATGTATGTAATACAGTGGCCCATGAGTGTATATATGTGCAATGTTAATTGTATATCTACAAAATATGTGGCTGAGCAGCGACAGAACTCCCTTTCATTTTAGGCATATTTACAGCCACTTCCTTTCTCAGGCCAGTTCAGTTCTCACCACATATCTACTTCCAAATCTCAGCTTCCTTAAAGCTGCTGCATCATAGCTGTTTGCTTAAGATGTATCTGTTAAGATGTGCCTCTGTTTAATAGCAGCACAGAAACACTACTAAGCTTTATTTAGGTGGTTAATAACACGAAGGACCAGCATTACACTGAGAATACGATGAGTTTAAGTCCTATAAAAAGTTTAAAATGGCAAAGGTCAGCAGTCAGGGAGATCCTCAACTTTGCATTTGACATCATGCAGGTTGCTCAGCTGATCCAAGTTCCCATAGTACCCCTCAGAACCGTGTGCCTGTCATGTTCTTTCACATGACTCAAGGACTCAAATATACTCAGTCTGGAACCCTCAAGTCTTTCTCCTAGTACAAACAACATGACACAGCTACTAGTTTCATTACGCAGAGCTCATTTCATTTCAGTATTTATGCATATTTAAATGGATAAGATGTCAACAAAGTAATTCAGAGTGGTTTGGTGTCAAATGCATCATTTAGCGTTTAGTCTAGCGGTGGTTATAGAAACCAAACAACCGAAGAATTAAATGTGTCTAGATGTTACATCACTGGTTAGGAGTACTTTTACCATAGTTTTGCGTTTAGGTTTTGGCCTAAAATGTATTTTCTAAAATCTGTTTATGGTGGAGAGATATATGCAGGCAAAATAGTCCCCAAAGAGCCCACAAATCTGGGTCAGCAAGTTTCTCTACAATTAACCAGTTCACATCAAACCACTTTGAATTACTTTGTTTACATCTCAACCACTGCATTATGTGAAAAATTTGAAAAAGCTGTGACAGCTAGTTAAGACATAACAGGAAGCATTTCTGTAATATCTTCTTAAAACCATCTTCACTTAAGTGGAATTCAGTGCAGAGTATGGTGACTGGGCCTTGCTTTCACTTCCATCAGAAAATCAGGTTGTAGGGCTGAATTTCTTATCTTGTTGACACTTTTCATTTCAGCTATTAGCGTCACGTCTTTCACAAAAATCCAGGTAAGCCATGAGGTTATTCATAAATGCTGCTCATTTGATTATCCATCCAAGCATGACTGGATTTTTGAAGCCAACATACTGAAATTTGGCCACAAGGTGTGAGATTTTGTCAAACGTGTTTGGTATGTGTAACGCTGGCTGTGAATTATTCAATATTGGCTATAAATGTATCAGTTTTGCTCTGATTAATACTGTTGCGGAAACAATCCTTTCTTCTTGACCAATATTGGATGTGACTATTCCTGCTAGAGCTTCTGCACACAGAGAAAAGCTATAGTTAATCAGTATGGTGCTGCCCTCTTCTGTTGTCACGAAGTAAAAGCCAGTCATAATACAGCTCGTGGTAAATGTTCATGAGTCATAATAAATAATAACAAACTTTGTGTAGTATATATACACATGTCCACCTTCATTTTAGTCTTTATTGTTCATTGCAAATACAGGTTATACATATCTCTCACTTGAATTGGAATGGTTCTTGCGATTGATTTCACAAAAAAATCAGCTTAGTTCAATTAACATTCTACAAAAACAGTGACATGAGTAATACAGCACCTTCTGGAACTAAAACAGTGACTTTATAATGTATTCTGAGCAGTGCATAATTTTAAGACACCTATTGTAGTGGTACATGTAGCAAACCACAACACCCTAAAATTACTGTCCTAGAACCTACTGAAAACAGCATCAATATCAACTTAGTTTTCTCGACATTCCCTATGTACATCACCATAAGTGGAATTCCACTGATTTTTCAAAATTTTCAAAATGCAGAATTCAGTTATTTAGATGTAAACAAAGCCATTCAGAGTGTTTTAAATGTGAAATTATGTGTCGTAGCGAAACTCGGCCAACTCAGATTCCCTTATAATTGTAGTGATAAGAATTTTAGGTACTATCCATAACAACTGCACATGGAGTTTTTACATGTGATGTGTGAGAAAATCAAGAACATCTGTCATGTGGGCAGGGGCACCCAAAGTTTGTATATGACTGTATCTCACTGCTATGAATGTACTTGACAAAAAGACATTTTAGGCCAAAATCTCATCTCAAAACTATTGCAAAACAATACCTCAGCAATCAAGCAGTTTGTGTTTATGTAACAGCTGTCTGTGAGATGGCTTTTGGATACATCTAGTTCCTATCACCATTACTGTAAACAATTTTGACTCAGTAAGTTTCTGCAGAATGGAACTTTTTTCCACATCAACCCACTCTGAATGCCTTAGCTGACATCTTAACCACTTATTTAAGCAGAGATTTTGAAAAATCAGTGGAATCCCCCTTTATTTTATCTTATTTCTATACCTTATTAATTTGTGATTATACATAATCCCCCCACACATTGATTAAAACAGCATTTTTCAAGAGCAATCCAAAAGTCATTATGCCCTTGATAAAATACAGTGCATACATTTTGTTTGAAAGAACATTGTGCAAATAGACAGATAATATTTCCCCCTTTTTAAATAAAACATTGTGTATAATGTTAAATTTTCAATACTTAACTAATAACTAAGTTCTTTTCTTCTGATCAGTTAAAATCATAATGAACGGATTCATTAGTTGCATTGTAATTCAAGTGATGTCACAAGTACTGGTTGTAGTAAAGGGAGGTAAAGACAAAACACGATTCCAAAGGCTATCGATTCGATAAAGGTACTGATTCCAAGGGCTTTAAAAGTGCACTATAAAACACACACTAGATCACACACAATACATACTGGATATAAACTCACTTGGCTCACTGTTTGTATGGCTTAAATAAACAGCATTTTGGATATCATTGGTTTATGGGGTTACTTCATCTTGCATTCCACAGCTGAAATTCCTGAGAAAGGCACGCCTCTTCCAATTCAACAGTTCAGGTAATCCTAGAGCTCAATCAGTCACAGGAAAAAGAGGCTTTTTCCTAAAAAATAAAAAAAAGGGAAGGGAAAAACTACTTGTTTATTATTTACAGTTGACATCCTGTGTGTGTACAAAAGGTAAAATTAAACATACCCAAAGCAGACTGCAAATCAGCATGCACTTGTTTTTAATAATTTAATAAAAATATTACTATATTCACATGTACTGTACCAGTTGAAAACACAGTATCGCAGTGCTTTGTTACAAAGTGACGACCTTTCTTCATGTGTTGCAACTTTGTCAACTAGGTCAAAAGTGAGCAAATGAAAAACTCTGCTAGGCAAACCCAGTCAGGTTTTATTACAGGGGTGGTTTGGAGTCTGTAAATTTGTAGAAATGACTCAGAGCGTTTGAGGTGCCAAGGATGTACTTTAATAATGAATATTACATTAGGTTGTATTTTTCTTTCAGTTTCATTTTCAGTAGTTTTGAGCCTTCCCATACTATAGGATAGAAAGAACAATGGGGGCATCATGTCTCTTTAACACCTCAAGGATAACTAAATGGCCCACTGCAGACATCTGAATCCACATGATAAAAAAAAATACATTCTATAGATATACTGAGTGGTTAAATCAATTTGTTTAGTGATTTTTGTTAAACATCAAGGGCCTATGAAAAAAAGGACTAACCCAGCCTCCCTGCTGAATGATCCAACTGGCCAGCCGGTTGTTGACGAAGCTGACCACAGCTTCCTGGACTCCGGTAACGTCGGGGCAATTCTTCTTCATGTAAAGAGCAAGTGTGATTGTAGCCTTCAAGAGATGCTTCTCAGGAACAACCTCTGCTCTCTCTGCCACCCACATCTTACTCAGGCTGTCCACGCCATTACTGAAAGCAGTCACCACCTGAAACCAAAGTGCCAATCAGTTTGTATTACTTGGCCTACTTAAAGAGTATTCCACAAATTTTTCAATTTCATTCAGGGTGGTTTGGTGTGAAATGCTCTGCTCTAGAAAAACACACAAAGTCAGAACTGTTCACAGTGGTGGTGATGGGAACTAGACATCTGAAGCATTTAATGCCTCTAAAAGCTTCCTATTGAAGTTATTATATGAAATGGTTATGACTATGCTGCTTGAGACATTGTTTTACAGTAGTTTAGTGAGAAGCTTTTGGCCTAAAACATATGTTTTTCAAGTCCATTCCTGGTGGAGAGGTACATGGGGGACATTATAAGGGAAAAAAGTCCCAAATTCAACTTGTATTCTTAAATTTACCACTATGTACCATCGTCAGCATTATATATAAAAATGTGTCAGTTCACTGGTCATTTTGGATGACTATATTGGATGACATTGTGACCCCAGGTTCGTATCATCACCACCACTGTAAGGAAAACTAAGTCAGTAAGTTTCTGTACAATGAACCATTTCATATTAAACCACTCAGAATGTTGTCGTCTACACCTCAATCATTGAATTATGAAGAAATTTTGAAAAATCTGTTATCAGTTTGATATGATTTTGAAAAGTTGTCATTGTAAAATAAGATATGAATGAATTTACAGACTACTTGTAGCATAAAAAGTCGATTAGCTTGCTAGTGTGCTTTGTGTGCAATGACGAACAAAAACACAATCACTATGCATAACACTGAAATGATGAAGAGCAGCAAAACAGTTCCAGGCATGTTTTCAGATTCCATGCCTCCTGATTTTTTTAAATTAGTATGTGAAGGAAACAATAGCACAACTATGAGAACATTGCTTCATTTTAGAGCTGCTAAAATCAATTCTTCCATCTTGTTCCACACTTAAAAAGTTCTTTAGTAAAGACAACGGTTCTATATAGAACCACGAACACTCAAAGAATCATTGGCATGCTTCTATGGCTCTTTGCACAGTGAAATGGTTCTTCGGATTGATGGGGAATGTGTTGTACATGGTCCTATATAGAACTTTAGGAGGGTTGTAACACCAAAAATAGGGTTCTTCTGTTGTTCCATGCTTGCCATCGTAACCGTAGTGGAACGCTTATTGGTGCTAAATAGAACCATGTTCAATACAGAACCATATACAGTTCATTCTCCATCAGAACCATTTCACTATCCCTAGCACCATTTAAGCAGGCAAATAGTTCTTTGAGTGTTCATGATTCTATACAGAACCACTGTCTTTACAGAAGAACCTTTAAAGAACCAAGGCCATGGCTGTGCCAGGAAATTTTGGTCATACTGTGAAAATGTATAAAATGACCTGCTGCTTCGAGGCTGTCCGGACTTCTTTAATGAGTGGCTGGATCACAGTCTCGTCGTACAGATCTCCCAGCTGTCTGAGCTTTTCAGCTATCTTCATTGCGTCGGCATTTTCTGGTAGGAATACATGAGAACACAGGGGCAGGTCTGACACAGCTGTCTACGCTGTTTTTCAGAAGTGAAAGGAAAGGAAGACGAAAGTATGCCAAGCGTCTATCATATCTAGCATTTCACCCTTTAACCTGAAGAAATGTTTACCATCTACTCAGAAACGTACCTTGTAACTTGGCTACTAAACGTAGCGTTGTAGCCAGTAACTGATATTTAATGAATTAATTAACGGTCAAAAGGTACTTTTTCACTCAGACACCAGCTACTGACAGCTGGAAGCTAGTGGTTAGTTCGAAGGTTAAGGCTAGAAAGTAGCTAAGTTGGCTTATATAGTGCACCAGTTCTGGCGCCTCAGGATTCAAATCCGAATAAGAAGCCAACTTTAGCTTCGTATACTAAGAAATAAGGGATAAAAACACTTGTCATACTCAACCTTTCATTCTAAGACGCTTTTATTAAAGCTAATAAAGCCTTTCTAACGGTAGCTAAACAGGCTGTTTGTTTCAGCAATACTTTCCTAAACGCTAACGTAGTTACTTACCGTCTTCGAGGCTACCAGGACCATCGGTTTCATATATATCCCTTTCATTCAGAAAAAGACAACTGATTATTGCGTTTGTCTGGGATTCAAAATCTTGTGGGGCCATCACTGATATCCAGAAAAGAAGCCCTCCTGTCCAGTCAGAGAGAAACGCCTGAGCCTCCCGAAGAAAGCGAGAATGTTCCTTAATGAGCTCTAACGTTAACGTTAGGTCTGTCTTTAAGAAAATGCATGTCTTATATTCTGATAGACGTCAAAGGGCTTTCCAGGGACGTAATTTCCGCGTTCTAGACCGACTGGTACCGACTCTGGTTGAACTACAGATCAGCCATTTGTTCGTTGAAAGCTGTTTCATCATCTAAACCCGCCCAACGCTGTTGCTATGCTGTGTCTTAAACCCATATTTACGCGCTTTGTCTCCGGGCTGACCAGCAGAGGGCACTGTTGCAGCAGAAATAAAGTGATAGGGGACGCCACACCCTTATGATAGAGCTATAAAAGATTTATTTTTTTTTATCATGGATAAGCCTTGAAAGTTACAAAATGAAGTCAGCGAGTCCAAAGAGGCTTCAGGAAACAAGGTAAGATGCCCTTGAGATGTTTACATTCAAACAGAATTGGGAAAATGTTTAAAAATGTGTCTTGGCAACTCCAGGTCCTGGAGGGCCACTGTCCAGCACAGTTCAGTGACTTTCCTGCTCAAACACACTCATTCAACTCATCGGTTGATTACCAGGTTAGAACAGGAAAATCACCAAAACGCGCCGGCCCCCCGGGATCTGATTTGCCCATCCTTGGTGTAAGGTGGAGGCCACTGTTCTCTTTGCTGACTAGTTTTAGTTTTATTTCCCTCAGACACTCAGAGTGATTGAAATGGTTCATTAAAATGAATTCAAACTGAGGTCCCAGATGAACGTGGAGTTAATGATAAGCATTTAATATGATCATTTGTGATGATACAAGTGAGCGTACAAAAACCTGCACACAGACACACCCACAAGAGCACTCGAAGCTGGCCAAAGGATTAATTCATGATAGGATCAGCTGGACCTTTGTAAACCTGTCCAAAACTGGACATTTCAGCTCGTATATTATTTATGTACTCCTCAGTAGCCCAGCGGCCCCCAGAGAAGAGATGGTTACTCCACAAAACCACTATTCCTGCACCCAGGCAGCCTTTATGGAGGGCCCAGTTTCACTGATGTAAAAGGGATCGCAGGTGAGCCACAGTGCATAATTTAGAATAGAGGGGGAGAAATGTTATATCTGCATATACTGCATAATCATTTGTTCTGCTCATTAATAAATAGAGCCGTCACGGTGATGAGAAAGGTTGGTAGAGACACATTTGTTAAAGCTTCAGTGTGCTTACATCTCCTTTAAAAAGTCTAATGTGTCTGGCACTAAATTATCTCTTAATAACAGAATCATAACAAGCACTTTGCCATTGATTGGTGTCCGCACATTTCCTAATTTGTTCTTTCTTTGCTATTATTTTTCATAGAACTCTGATCCAGGATTGTCCTCCTTCAGTCTTCCTGTTCTCTGGCTCTCACCATGGAGGTGGATCAGTGGAGATCATGCCATAAACAGTGAGTGCCGACACAGTAGGGTTGCAACTATATCTATCTATCTATCTATTATTTGATTGACTAATTGGCCTATTATGCCTTCTGCTGTTTCCTTTTCACTTGGCCCCCATGACAGTGCCACAGTTCAAAATTCCAACTGTGCAATCAGTGAGTTCTTCCTTTATAGCGCAACGAAACAAAAAAAAAACTGCAGTAAACAACATTTTCTGTAGGGCAGTGGTTCCCAACACTGGTCCTAAAGTACCCGCGGCCCTGCACATTTTGGTGTTTTCGCTCTCAATACACCTGATCCATCTTATCAGCTCATTAACAAGCTCTTACTGAGTTGAAGTGGGTGTGCTAGAGCAGGAAAATCACAGCACAGTAGGTACTTCAGGACCAGGGTTGGGAACCAGTGCTGTAGTGTGTTGCAATCTGTTGGAATGACTGAATGCATCATCTGAACATCATAGAATATTATAGAGTACTTTTGTTTTTAAATCAATGGAAGTAATTCAATAATCATTGTTGACAAATTTACTTTATTGACTAACCGTGGCACTCTGTGATAGACTGTGCACAAGCAATTTGATCACAGATATACCCATGCGCATTGACTGTCCCCTCACAATACTTTTGAGGCCTGTTGCAAACGGACTACCTCTGCGTCACATGAGTGATGTGGCATTGTGGTCATTGACACGTGCTGCAGAGTGGTACAGTAAGCAAGTTCTAAAGACATACTTATTCCAAATGGATAAATGGTCAAATAAAATATAATTTGTAGAAAGAGCATTGGAACATTTGTCTACCTGCAGCAGCTTTCTTACCTGTGATTGGTCAGTCGTGTCAATCCTTGTAGACCTATGGGTAAAGGTGTATGCGGCATGAAATGTTTAGCCAGCATGAGGGGAAACATAGATTCAAAGAATATTTTCTAAAAGCCAGCCCACTTCTGGGACGCACCACCGCACTGCCTTGCAGGGTATGTGAATGCTCTAAGAAATTCCAATGATTTTTCAGTATTACTGCATAAGTCAGACTTTGGGATGTAAACAAAGTCATTCAGAGTGTATTAATGTGAAATGGTGCGCTGTAGAGAATCTTACCAACTCTTTTATTTACAGTGGTGGTAATAGGAACCAGCAGTCACCATGTTTACAACTCAAATATAGCCATTTTATTTACTATTCAAAATGACCAGTGTGCCTACATGTGTCTTCTGAGTTTTTACATGTAATGGTAAAATAGTGATGAAACTAAGACTAACAAACTAAGACACGCTGCATGTACCTTTATGCCATGAATGGATTTTAAAAATACGTTTTAGGCCAAAAGCTTATCCCAAAACTATTGTAAAACAGTGTCTCAGGCAGTGTATTCGTAACCATATTGTGCAATAACTTTCACTTTTAGAGACATTGGAAGTCTGATTTCACCGTTGTGAACAATTGTGACTTTCTCTAGTTTCTAGAATCAAACTTCTCTGAATGACTTTGTTTACATCTTTGTTAACAAAACGTCCTGCGAGTCTTTAATCATGTAAATGTAAGGGCTGTTTTGGTTAGATCGCATGGAATGCTAACTCAGGGGTACAATGTGTCTTCACGACGCTCTCCACTTACGATTGGATAACCCAGGATGTCGGTTAATGGGGCCTTAGTATTATTACTCCAGTGGTCTTGATCAATATGTGTACTGTAGGGATGCACAATATATAATTTGTTATTAGTTACCACATTATTAGTCCCAGTACTGATATCAGAAGATGTAGATGAGCCCTCCAACCTTACTATGTGAGGTGACCAATCACAGTTCCAGATGAGTATTTCTGTGGATGTACTGATGAATCAAATCACATGATCAAAAAGTTGCTCAAAATAATACCGGCCAATCTTTAACCATTTTACATTGTTAATTAACCAGTACATGTGTAATGCTTTGAAAGATGTAACACAATCTTGACATACAGCAGTGTAATCACTATGCTAGCATTTTGTCCATATCATGCTGCCCTAGTCTGCTGTGACACAGGAGTTGAGTAAGCCACAAGCCAGCAGCATCACTGTCCCTGCTCAGTCTGCCCTGTGTGCTTATGAGAACAGGTTTCTAATTGTGCCAGAACAGAGGAGGCCGTCAGGCGCCTGATCTCAAAGCAGATTTGAGGCCGTGACAGCTGCCCGGGTCCCTCAGGTGGCCCGATCCATTCGCAGCGAAGCTTCTCATTAAAAAGTGTGCACGATACAAAGAAAGAAGGGCAAAAAAAAAAAACACTCCAAAAAACTGCACAGAGAGAGGCAGGTCCTTTTGTGAACTCACTGTTCCCAGGCGTCACTCATAAATAACACATGCAAAAGTTGAGCCTTCAAAATGACAGTTCAGTTATAATAGCAATCACTAATGATGCATCTGTGACTAATTGTCCACCCAGCACTATTTTGAACATCATCCACAAGAGCATTTCACAGCGTTTTGTCAGCGCTGACACGCACACACAGGCTAAGCTTAATTTCTCATTTCCCTCAGTCATCGTGGTTCTGAATATTTTCAGTGCCAATTCCATTGACAGAGCTGTACCCTTATTTGCATGCAAAACAAGGTGAATCACGTTGAGCTGGGTGTTTAGCTTTATACTGAATGTGCCTGGATTTGACATAGGCTACTTTGAATATAATAAGGAATAGAAGTCTCAGAAGCCCTCGTAACTTGTGTATACCATGTAGCCATGCATCAGGGCTGGGCTAGGATACAAATTTAGCTCTGGACTCTTGTCCAGACCTGTCCACCACAAGCGGCTGGACACCAACCATCTTCGTACCCTCATTCACTGTACACTCAACAGTCTCTTTATGTAGACTGGAATATATATGTAAGTAACTTAGCAATCAGCTAGTAAGCTAATGTAATTTATCTGTGTAATGAACAGTTAGCTGACCACCTAGCTAAGTATGGAATGTTTTTTTTCTAAGTACATACTTTGTTTGGAATAAATCAGCTCTCATTAACTTGTTAGCTTTATAGTCAAGGTAGTAGGTTGTGTAGCTAACATCATCTAGCTAATTTAGGTAACTGTTTTTTTGTTTTCAAGTTAGCTAACTAGTTAAAGATGACCAGATTAACTGGTCAGTGTAATGTATTCTAAATCTTCGACTCAGCCTTTAATCTGACCAATGTGTCTGCTAGCTTGTGAACTTTATTAGTTTGTATGCTATGCTCATAAGCAAGGCTAACTGTTCTTTCTACATTTTGTTGACACACTAACTACGTTTCATTGCAAAGTAAGTATAATTAGGCCTGTTTAACTGGATTTACTGCAGTGCAATTTGTTTAACATTGAATAAAAATCATTGTAGTTGTAAGTTTATTGTTTGATTATAGTATTTTTTATACGTGGCACTACCGGTTCTATTTTGTCTGTTCCAACTTATTGAATCTCAGAAAAATGAAATACCGTGTATATTGTCTTAAAGTATCGTGATATGATGTTTTTTTGCCATGTCACCCATCCCTAGTATGAGTATAGACTTAAAAGCCTATTGTTAGCCCATGGATGTAATGTAAGTTGCATGGCTGAAATATCCCCAGAAAACTCCAGTTAATGTTGTAGATGTGTGTTGTGTGTGTGATAAAAAGACACATTACCTCTTGCAAGGGAAATACTTTAGCTTTGGAAGACATCACAAGATTTTCAAAATCAAAAGGTTTTCCTGAAACATTCATTTTGAGGAATGGATGTTAGCTAATGATATTGTTTTGCTAGCGAGCTTGTTTTACTTGTGTTATTGATTATTCTGGTCTT